GGCTAGTATTGATTTATACCACTGGTGCGTTGTATAAATAAACTATTATATAGTTTTATAAAAGCGCCTGTTATAAATTCAATAACGTGTCTTACGAATGTATTATAATATAATATACGGGTAGGTTCATACCAAGGTGTAGAATGTTAAATGCGAACATGTGAAAGATAAACAAAATAATAACTTTATTATAGTCTTATAAGTTATGATGTATTTTATTAAAAGTCCATACGTAGAAATAAAACAAGCTCTATCCAGAAACTTTAGACACATCTATAGTGGCCCGGAGACATTTTTCTAGGGGGGGGGGGAGGGTAAGACAAGATTCGAAATTGTATACCCAATGAATAATACATTATTAGTTCGATTAAAAATCACTGTAGCTGAAAGAAGAACTTTAGACGGCTTGAATGTTACCCGAAATTATCAACAATTCCACAGTACAAAAATTGCCATCGTATGCATGACGACTTGACCTATTGTTTTAGTTAAATCTAGTCCAAAAGTCGTTCCATGTCGGATGTATCTCAAGAAACGTCGACAATTACAGAAAAAAAAATTATGTTTTCAACTTTTTTAATACCGATTTCTCTTATCGCATCATTGCATATCAGTAGGTACACATCAATACAAGACAATTTTGAACATCATGAAGAACACGTCTTAATGTCCTATACTCTAAATATAATTATTAAAATGTACTCCTGAATTTAACACTGACAATGTTCTTAATTAAGATAAGATTTATCATTGTTATCGATTAAATCATAATACGCATCAAATTTTAAGAAATAATTATAAATTACCAAAAACCTTAGCCCGTAGATCTAATATCAGAAATATATCATTCCATTTTCCAATATTAATACAATTTGAAGTGCGATAGTACCATAATACATTAATTTATGCATTTGACACGAGTAATTAAATTATTTTAGGTACCTATGAATTAATATAGAATGCATATCACTGTGAAAGAAACTAATTAATTATATCAAGGTTCAAGTCCATTACGAAATAGCTTGATTAAATTTTAGCATTCGATAGAGCTACAGATGACACTATGATACGTCATCGGACAAATAATTATGTATATTAAATACATACATATATATGTATATACTATACATAATAAAATATGTACAACAAATTGATTTTACGAGTTTCATTCGTCTTTCAGCACTGATGAATTTACAATGACTTCCGAGAAACAAATTTTTATTTTTATACTATTTTTTTTTTTTTGCAAGTCGCGTAGTGTCTTATATTTTTCTCATAATTTTATTTCAAACAATTTTTTATACCTCAGCATTTTTCATAAATCTACATCTTTACCGAAAAACGAATGCCATACATTTGAAAAATCATAATTTATTTGGCTTGGGTACCCTGCTACGCCCCTTGTCATCTAACAAGCGTAGTTAAAAAAATGTTCCAATTACCAAAAATAATCTTAAACAGTATTATATAAAATAAATATTCTAATAAGCTACCCATTATCACCAAACTTCAGTGAATAGATGATTTAAATTTCCAATTTATTTACTATTGTTGTACGATTTTTATTTTTAACAGTATAACCTGTACTGATTTGATTATAAAACATACTTAATTGCATCAGCACATTAAGAGGGCGCTACACGTCCAACATTTGATTGTTAAAAACCATTTCGAGAGTGAAAAAACCACTCAGGTTATAATATTATTAAAAAAAGATGGTACTTACTGGTTGTTAAATCAGATTTTCACCATTACGAAAACTTTGAATTTTCATTCAATACCGCTCTTACAAATAAAAATAAACGATGTTGCACAGACAAAGTAATCTTTTTTTAATAATAAAAATGTGGTTTTGTAAGTTTATCTGTAGCATTCTTGTTTTCCCGATAGAAACCATTTTTCTTAATATTATGAAATTATTGTAGTTATTTTTTTAATTTTTATAATTAATCCTACTAAAATAATTCAAATAAATCATGCATAGAAAAATATGAGTTATTCAATTACATTTTCTATACATTGGAATCTTCACCATTAATCTGCAATAATTATTATCAATAACGAAACACCATACTTGATTCCGGAATCATAAAATGGTTATTATGTCTAAACTACCAACATATTCCATAAAAGAGTAAAACAGAGGAAAAAACAAGTAAACACGAATAACACTAATTGAAATGCACATTCATGAAAAATGAAGTACCTATAATAAGTTTTTATAGGTGCCATCTGAATTTGGAAAAATGAAAAAATAAAATTTAGTAAAACAATTTTGTAAAAAATATTAATTTTATATATTACAATTAATAACATAATTGATAATTGTAGTAATGCAGCTGATATGTTATAAACTAAGTTGCGGAATGTTTTGCATAGGTAATATAATAAGTATAAATATCAGAATCGCAAGAACACTGCAAAATTAAGACTACAAATATCTGAACTAAAATAAAATTTCTTTTAACGTGAACAAAGCAGTCACGGTAAAATGTCGACACAAATAAAGATCTCCCCATATCGAATAACAAAATCATTCCGACGCATACATTACGAAGCACAGCACTTGGAGAATATCACAAACATGGTGAAATAAAGAAAAATAATTTTTCAAACATACAAACACACAAAGAAAAAACCGATTTTAAAAATAATAACATTATGATAGTCAATATAAAAAATTATACCAACATACAAAACTTCAACCAAATATTTTAATGAAACGTTCAATATCAATAACAATATTGCACCTAATAATATCTTACAGTTAATTAATTAAATTTTGAAGTGTTTTTATTTTAATATTTTATCGTATGTTAATATTATTTTAAAATTTTTGCATTCATGTTTTTCATATTTTATTTTATGTTTGGTTATTAACATTAGAGTAACCCGACGGTGACGAACCACGTCCAACACTAGTAGGTAGTTGCCATTTTTATTTTTTAATTATGATACTCTTAGTAAACTCGAGGCTGTACCTAACCCTCATTTCCTTTTTTTTACTATTATTTACAAATAAACCATAATATTTGACAGGACGGACCCTGCAGTTGCCTAACGGGCACTCAAACCCCAGTTTTGGCATGAAAACGTTTGGCTCGTATTGTATCAGTCAAAACCTTTACAACAGCTCCGCGCGGGTTTTCCCGTATAACAAGAACAAATAAACGATATAACAACATTTTAATGATAATAATTATAATTATAATACAAATAATATACCTATACCTACACCTGGGTACAGTACTCAAAATGTCTAACGCAATCCGTTGGCCTCCCCCCCCCCCATCTTGCTCTGGTCCGTTTAGAATCTAAAACGCGCCCGTAAACGAAATCGTAATTTCCGAACAATGTAAAATTTAATTCGTACTGTTCACAGTCGCGTGCCGTTATATTATTAATAAATTCCATTATAAAATAATTTCACCGTTCGAACGTCTTGTCAGCGCGTGTGCTGCATGTGCCCGAGGAGAGGTATGTATGTGTACCTAAGCGAGTATATAATATAATACATAATATACGCGTGATATGGTCGGCAAGGTGGGTCAGGGTGGGTTAGGTGGGTGCCCAGGTGGGTACTGCGGGCAATGTTGTACTACAATATGTATAGTACGCAAATACGGGAAAATATTATTACGTTGATTTAATATTATTCGCTCTAGTCATCGCGGTCGGACGAGATAAACGCGGGTCAGGTATACTTGTCGCTTTTACTTAAATGACGACAGTCGATAATATTTTTGCATTACATTATTTTCTGGTCAACCGATCGCCATTGATACAGTAACACTAGGTACATAGCCCATCCTATAATAGCGATATACATTCAGACACTCTATTCTTCTACCGTAAATCGATGTTAAGTCCTATAGCTTTATGTCTAGTGAGGTTTAAAAATAAGTATACATTTGATATATTTTGATATTCTTTATCGCGGTGATGTTTAGCTGGTTTCTTGTTATTTTATTTTTTCATATTAATAGCAACCCTTTATTTTTAATATCATATTGCAGAATATTTTCAGACAAATATTTCGCTTTAGAATGTGAAATTCAAAATACCTAACAGAAAAAAAATCGTCACAACGATAAAAATATTTTTGTACAATTATTTGAGTCGCAATACATTTTAATGCGTGCATAAATGAAATGGAAAATTTTAAATGTTCATAAATACATCGGTTGATTGAAAAACGGAAATATAGTTATGGATTCACATCTCGAACTCAGAAAATTGTAGTTGTGCACGTCAGTCACCCTATATTGCGTTCACATTCATTTCAATATTATGTGCTTCTGTATTTGTCATATTATGATAATATTGCAATTATACTGTTCTCAGTACGTTTCAAATTAATATTTGTACGACAACAATTCCGGAAAACGTCTAATAAATAACCATCTATACTTCACGAATGTTAAAGGTACAATATTGTATAAAACCATAAATGATGTTTATGTGATTTTTTATGTTTTTTTTTTTTAACCAAATGCATCCTATACGCCATTAAAATACTTTGTAAATATTGTTGTTAAGATTGATTTGAATATGAAACCACAGAACTATGTAAGAATGTTACAGCTCATTAATTTTAACTACCAAATATTATCTGTAATAGTCATTGAAGCTGCTACAATATAGTATTATAATATATTTTATTGTATTCAATCCAAAAAATGAAACGTCTAATTATAATCCAGAATAACAACGTACCGGTTTCACAGGTTTTTGAGTATAAATTTGTATCGCATATTTTTAGATTTTTTTTTTGTGCTTCTTAGATCTCGTAGTGCATTGTTGCTTTATTTTATGTGCTTTTATCGTAGTTTTATATAGCTACAGCATCTAAACTCTAAAATATCAACCGTCGCATCGATTATGTGCGATTTATTTTAAACACACCTGTCCTAACTCATTTGTACACGTGTACGCAGCCTCACACAGTGTTATTGATCGGTGCATTATTTGTTTTATTTTTCATCAAATTCCGAATGCAGTTGGCGTTGCAATGACGTTGAACCCGAACGGAGTGGGAGTGAAAGCCGAACCGGTGATGTCCACAGGTGTCGGCGGCGTCGGCGGCCCGAGGAAACAGTCGGCCACGAAGACGTGAATGGCCATAATGGCGGATTGCGGCGACGGCCGTGGTAGCGGAACGTTTATTCTAAAATACGAGTGGAAATCGAGGATCAAAAATCGTTTGTTATTTTTTTTCGTTTTTAAGTTTCATTGTTTTTCCAAAAACAAGACAAAATACACTCCCGTTACGATATAATAATAATATGTATTACCCATGATATGATATAATATAATTTGTATTCCGAGTATTATTATTATTACTATACGACGGCAGTTGTAGGTATGCTATCTATATTTATAACATTATTATTGCTATTATTATTATTATTATTATTAACTTTAGAGAAACTCCAGTCCTGTCATGATGTACAAATTTATCTTTTAATATACTATTAAACTGCACGCACACACAAAAAAACGACCAAAACACGACCAAGTAATGTGTATGCATTAATATTTCTGACCAAAGATCCACGACGTTCGGAGGTACCTACACGGGCAGCAGCCACTACTTAGTAGGTAGTTGGTATAATATTTGCGCCCCCTCCCCCCCCTCTCATCGTCATCGTTAGAACAATAATATTATAGTACAGCCTCTCGTTGCCATTGTATGCGCATCGAGTAACACGTGGTGTAAATATTTGATTTTTGATTTTTTTTTTTTTACACAACATTTCGTTTTTGTTAACTGTTTCCTCATATTGTTAAAATTAACTTATAATAATACTGAGATTAACAAATTTCGTCACTCCCAAAAATATGGTCATTCGGCTGTACCTATATAATATTATGATACGTAAGGGGAAGTTTTTTTTTACGTGAGACACTCATAAAACGTGAAATTGTTTTTTTAACTGTGTAAACGGTTATGATTAAGTATTTATATATATATATGACTTAAGAATTAACATTTTTATCTTGCCTATAATGTATACATACATAATATTATTATTTGTTGCATAATTTTGTTTAGATTTTGTACTTTTTTTTTAAATTTAGTGGTTAACCCTCGCTACTCTTGCACTCGTCTATGATTTAGTATCGTAACTGTATAATCAATATCAACTATTGGTCCAAGTATAGATACCAATCATTTTGTACGTATAAGACATAAACATATATATTCTTTGTCAGGCGAATTATTATAGTCTTCTCCGGAATATTAAATTTAAAAAAGACGAGAACATAATATTAATATGATAAAAATATAAGTTGATTAATAGAAAAAATTAATATGATATAACCTACTTCAAATTAAAGGATATTTTTTACGAACAGTGTCTTGCGTCACGTAAAAAAATCGCCTCGTACATGTATTTATATAATATTGTGATATTAGATAGCTAAATATTCATGACGAATGTATCTTTGATTATAGTTGAAATGGACTTATGTGGGCCATCATCAACGGTGGTGGGACCTGTACCCAAAACAATATTATAATATACGTATGTACTAAAATATAATATTATGTGTATAATGTATAATATTATGCGTGTCGTTGAATACGAAACAGCTAAACAAACCAAAAATAATAGATTTTTTTTTTGAAAATATCCTTATTGTGGGATTTGTACGGTTTTACAGAGAAAAATTTGCTCACTTTTAAAAAAAAAAAAATAATAAAATATAAAATAAATAATAGACTATAATATTATATTATATATAAAATGTGTTGCACAGAATTATTTTGTTTCTATTCAACAACTACGTTACAACACATTATTATTATTATTATTATTATTATTATTATTATTAATATTATTCGACAAAAAAAAAACACAAAAAAAAACAAAAAAAAACATTGACGATTATTTATATATATATTATATATAATTTATTACATTTTTTTTATGTACATAATAAAAATTACTCTAGTAGATTATTTATGCGTAGCAGTATTATCTACGATCATTTTTTGAATGCACCAAAAATAATTAGACAAAAATAATAATTTGCTTCGATAAACAATACAAATTAATATTCTCATTTATATATTATATATATAATGTCGTTCTTAAAATGTTTATGAAAAAATTATATTATATGTATTAAACGTTACACTTAAACATTGTATTTAAAAACATTTTATACTCGTTTAGAACTAAATTTATTATTATCATCAAAATATGAACATGTTATTATACGATAATTCTATTATCTATTTATAATCAAATTATTATGTTTTATAGTTAAATTCTGTTTCTGTCCGCGAATCTTTTTTTTTCCTTATATCTTTTTTTTTCTTTGTGTTAATTTTATAAGTTATGATTATATTATTATGTTTTGACATTCATTTTACGTTCCCTGGTTGTGATTTTAAGGTTGTTTTTATGTTATTTCTTTATAAAGTTTTATTACATCATTGTCGTTCAAACTCTGGCTGTGTATTTTTTTTAATATTTTCTTTTTCTTTTGATTATCACTCAACGAAATCAAAACAGGAATACAGGAAAACACACGCACTCGCAACCTTAACCTAACCCGTAATCAGGAAGTGGTTAATAACATTATATAATATAGCATTTACAAGAGAGTATATAATATTATCTAATGCATTATATTTAGTTATAGAATAAATTAAGTATACAATAGTAAGTATCGATATTAAGTTTGTAATGTAATCTTTGGCGGAGTTGGCTTCGGCGAGGCGCACATGATGTCGCCAAATGTGTTCATTTCCTCGGTCTTGTCACACGGTCAGCGACACCTTGTGTCGTTGTGCGAAACAAAACAAAAACAAATTCACGACGAACACTGCAGTTGTTCGTATCTGATGCACATTCCCAAGTTGTCTTCTGGGTTTTCTTCCCTGTTTCCCGGTCCAAACTGCACTCGCATCACGAACGGTGTGGTGCTGCCTGTGTGGAGAAAGCGAGTTAACTAACAGGTAGGTCGCCCTAACTTATAACGATTACAACGAGTAGATATTATGTATGATTATAATATCATACAGAATGATTTTCTCAACACCGTAAGTCAAAGTTTTGCAGACAACGTAATATATTTTAAATATCTGTTGAATCGAGTTCGTATGCTTACCAAAATTATTATTATGTTTTAGTCTGAAAATATGAAACATGAGTAACTGTTTGCTGTTTAAAGAGGACTTCGACAGCACTATCACTTCGAATAATTTTAAAGTATTTCACATGTTAAAACTTTACGGAGTTAAATTATATAATGCGTTACCTTGAGGCTCTTGCTAACCCAACTATCAATTTTTTACCAAAACGACTTTGGTGACTGACAAATTAAGGTACTTTTAGCTATTCTATTTTAAAAATGTAAAGATTTTCGATTTGATAATGAAGTTTAATTTGCATCGGTTGAAGCATAATTATATTCAATATTTTTTTTTAAATTTTAATATATTTAATAAAAAATAATTTTAAATTGATAGAATGTAAAATATCTGTTCCCGTTATAATATATTTTCATTTATTCCCATTCAGAATTTGCTAAAATTGAAAAAGATGAAAAATAATCTTGTTTATGCATTCAAACGTCTTAGAAATTTTTATAGTTGGATCTTTGGAAGTATTTAAATTTTTGTCAGAACGAATTGCCAAAAAACACAACTCTTTTAAAGTGATACGTTTGTAGGGGCCTTAAAAAATATCACTTATGACATACTACACACATCATTCTGTGTTATAATAGATATTATAGAGACTATTTAATTTACTATAATGTTGAGTAATATTTTATACTCACTCTCGATCCGACACGGCGTTTCCTTGTCTGTGCAGAAATTGTTTCCGCAATGGAGCAAATCGCATATCCCAGGGCCACCCTGAGGCTGTACAGTGTAAAATAAATATTACATACAAAATGCACACGTTTAAAAACCACTAAACTAAGACTTAAATATTGTAAGTATAGCTAGTGATAAAAAATACCAACCGTTATGAATTCTTCGGAATCGCAGGGCATCATGACTCGGTCACTGCACTCGCGGAATACGTCCATGGACACCACTTGGCTCCCACCTGGAGCGTCACCACCGTCGTCTCCCGAACCCTCGATCCCCGTGTCTATGCCAATGATAACAAAAATCAACATTTTCGAAAGTCATAATATGATCTTTAACACCCTCTCAACTCACCGGAAAATATCGGTGGTCCGATCTTAAACGAGTTTTCGTCGCACGGCTCATACGCGATCGAACACATACCTGTAACGCAAAAACAAGTTAGATGGTTGTACGGTTCACGATCAAGAAAATGATTATTATGTGATCTGTAGAACTCCTGTTTTTAGTGTGGGTAGGTCGTCGATGTGTGCTTACGCTCTCTCCCCCCTGTTATCTTTGTACACCGGTTTGCACAATGTGTTGACCCATCATAGGTTTACCAACTATTGACGATGATTTGGCAGAGGTGACGATAGCACATTGTAGGACAGTCAACATTTTGACTCTCCTACCTTCGAGAAAACACTATAGGATGTAAACCTCAAAATATTCACATAACAATTCAATAAGAAAAGAGAATTAAATACATTGATATAAAAAATTAATTCTAAAAAAAAAACATTAACTTTTGAGACGCAAAGTATTAGTCGAGGGTAAAAACTAAGAAACTATTTTTTTGTTTTAATATTAAGTAGGTAGGTTAAAATGTAACACTATAGATATTTATTATTATACCAGAACCAATTATATAGTTTATTTTCAACATTTCAAGCACAATTCATCGAGGCAAAGGAAAGCTATATAGGTAGGTATACATAAAAAAATCTACATAACTTAATTATTCAAAGAAATTGATCGAGTTCACGAAGTATGACCTAGGTTCTATGTTATACTTATGAACTACTTAGATTATATTATTATAAATAAACATTCTAAGGTCTACAACTCGAATGGCGCCATTCCAAACACGACGTGACTAATTATATACCTAGGCACCTACCGTGTTCTTGTCGTATGCAAATTACATAGTCTTGGTCGGCCAGATGTCGGCCGTTGACCGCAAAGTTCATAGTCTGCACGGTGCCCGCGACTTCGTGGAAATACTGAAGACATCCGGCTGGCGCACGCTGAGCGAACTCAATCTGCGTGATCTATATTACAAAAATAACGCAATTCGTTACACGTATACTAACAGAATTGCGACAATTAACGATATTCGAACGACGGTCGACTATGACTACGACAACCTGTTGCCGTGAAGGTAAGTAGCAGGTGCCCAAGTACACTCACTTTAATCTCCCACATCCGGTTGTAGTTGCCTTTGGTCAGTCTAATGTTGATCGTCACATAGTCTTTCGTGTCGTCCATATCGTAGTACACTGCGAAACCACAATAGTAAAATCATTGAGGTAGTCCGTTTAAACTACAGTGAAAAACTTGAGGAAGGATCAGGAGGTACCCAAAATCGATATCGTACCGGAAGCAAAAAAATGAACGACCCTTATTGGAATCTATATAATCCATACATCTATATTATTTATATAGTGGTAATTTAACAAAAGTTGTCTTAAAATTTCTTGGAATATTTTTTTCATTTATAATGAGATCATATTATAAATATAATGTAATTATGTTGATTTGTATCATCAGTACAGTTCATGCCCCTCCTCGCCTATGTATCTACCATGGCATAACCTCTCTTCGCCTAATTCCCCTCAAGCTCACACGCATCGCGTACCTACCAGCC